GGCTCCGCAGTGTCAGACGCACAGGAATACACACTGGGATCCGCAGGGTCTGACTCACAGGAATACACACTGGGATCCGCAGGGTCTGACTCACAGGAATACACACTGGGATCCGCAGGGTCAGACTCACAGGAATACACATCGGGATCTGCGAGGTCAGACTCACGGGAATGCAGACTGGGATCTGTTGGTTAGAAAAGTAGCTGTTTTAAGTGGGTCATTGATTCGCATTCCTTAGTGTGACCCCTGTCTGTAATGGAATGTTTCTCCATAAATATTTAGCTTTTTTTTTTTTTAAAGTGTTTTTTAAGCAGTACCTGTACTGGTACAGGCCTCGTGGGATAATCGGGAATTCCCTCTGGCACGATGGCAGATCCTCGGAGTGATGCTGGTACTAGGAGTTCAGCTTCAGCTCTGCCTGGGATGGCTCTGCAGCAGATGTGTACACTGCGTCACATTTTCTTAATGCAAAATGCCTGCTTAACACATCCGATTTGATTTAATATTCTGCCACCAGTTGCTTATTTTGTAAACCGTGACCTCATGATGGGTGGGGACGAGGGGGGGACCTTTTGGTTGATTTCTTGACACACAAATGGCCGATATTCAGGTCCAGAATTCCCAGCCAGAGCCATTTACAGAGCAGAACTGTTTTTTTTTTTTTGATAAAATGCCAAAGTTCTCCTGGCAATCGATTTTGACCCAGAACGACCTCTCAGCAATGAGGCCGAGCTGTGTGGGGGTGTGCGTTTGGAAAAACAAAAGCGGGTTTGGGCGATGGCTAGCCGAGAGAAATGCTGGGAGCCTGCAAAGTTTGATCTTAAACGAAGGTTGTAGCGAGAGGAAGAAGAGCTGCAGCGTGCTTCAGAACAAAGGGGCGGTCCAGCCCACAGGAACCAGCCTCTTAAACATTTATTTGTGCTTTTTTTCCTCTCACTCTTCCTCCACTATCTCTGACTTCCCTCTGAGCGCCAAAAAAATTAAATGTGTCAGAGCGATGACATGATGTCCAGAAAGTGCTCCGAAGTCTTCAAAACCCATTAAAGTGAACGGCAAGGTCTCCCCCGCCTCAATCCCCCACTCTCCCCCAGTCAGAGCCGCATCTGAAAATGAACTTTCATTTCCCTGATCAAAGTGCGTGGATCTCAGCTCGGCGCCCCCCAGAGGAGCTGCCATTGGTCGGGCATGAAAGCGGTCTCTACAAAGATGCATTTGCTGCAGAGAATCGAACCTCGTTATGAATAAGTAATGACTGAGTTTAGCGCCGAGGCCGGAATCGGCCGGAAAACGAGGCCGAGTGCTAACGAGCTCGCCGAGTGGCCCTCTCTGGCATGGCCACGCCCATCCAACTGCCCACAACGCGACACATGATTGACGTTCCAGGGAATGCACGTGCTGCTCCGAGTGGCTCTGAAGTGGCTCTGTG